GACTCTCCCAGCAAACAAAAGCCCAGGCCCAGATGGCTTCATGGGGGAGTTTTACCGAACATTCAAAACAGAACACCCATTCTCCTCAAACTATTTCAAAAACTTCAAGAAGGAGGAAGACTTCCAAACTTGTTTTATGAGGCCAGCATGATTCTAATTCCAAAACCAGAAAAAGACACTACAAAGAAAGAAAACTACAGGCCAATATCCCTGATGAACATATCCTGAACAAAATACTAGCAAATCAAATCCAGCAATACATCAAAAAAATTATTCACCATGACCAAGTGGGATTCATCCCAGGGATGTTCATCCCAGGGATGCAAGGCTGGTACAATATTCGCAAATCAATAAATGTGATACACCACATACAGAAAATGAAGAATAAAAGCAACATGATCATATCAATAGTTTCTGATAAAAACGCTCAGCAATGTGGGACTAGAGGAGGAATCATATCTTGACATAATAAAGGCCATATATGAAAGACCTACAGTCAACATCATACTCAATGGGCAAAAATTAAAAGCATTTCTTTTAAGAACAGGAACAAGACAAGGATGCCCACTTTCGCCACTCTTATTTAACATAGTACTGGAAGTTTTAGCCACAGCAATCAGACAGGAAGGAAAAATAAAAGGGATCCAAATTGGAAAGGAGGAAGTGAAACTGTCATTATTCGCAGATGACGTGATACTATACGTAGAAAACCCCAAAGACTCCATCAAAACTTTACTAGACTTAATAAATGGCCCTGGCCATTGGTTCAGTGGTTAGAGCATCAGCCTGCGGTCCAGAGAGGCCCGGGTTCGGTTCCTGCTAAGGGCACATACCTCGGTTGCAGTTTGTCCTCAGCCCTGGTTGGGTCATGCGGGTGGCAGCTACTTGATGTGTGCCTTTCACGTCGATCTTTCTCTCTCTCTCTCTCTCTCTCTCTCTCTCTCCCCCCCACCCCTCGCTCTGTCTGAACAAAAAATGGGAAAATGTTCTCGGGTGAGGATAAAAAATAAAATAAATAAATAAATAAATTTGGCAAAGTAGCAGGATACAAAATTAGCATCAAGAAATTGATGGCATTCGCCCTGGCCGTTTGGTTCAGCGGTTAGAGTGTCGGCCTGCGGTCCTGAGAGACCCGTGTTCGGTTCCCGCTAAGGGCGCGTACCTCGGTTGCAGTTTGTCCCTGGCCCTGGTCGGTTGTGCGGGTGGCAGCCACTCGATGTGCTCCTTTCACGTCGATATTTCTCTCTCTCTCTCTCTCTCTCTGTTCCTCTCTCTCCCTCCCACTCTACCTGAACAAAAAATGGAAAAATGTCCTCGGGTGAGGATAAAAATAAAAAAAAGAAATTGATGGCATTCTTATACACCAATGATGAACTCACAGAAAGAGAAACTAAAAAACTATCCCATTTACCATTGCTGCAAAAACAATTAAGATACCTAGGAATAAACTTAACCAAAGAAATAAAGGACCTATTCGCAGAAAACTACAGCTCATTGGAAAAAAAAATAAAATAAAATAAAATAGCCCTGGCCGGTTTGGCTCAGCCGTTAGAACGCTGGCCTGCGGTCCGGAGAGACCTGGGTTCGGTTCCCGCTAAGGGCATGTACCTTGGTTGCAGTTTGTCCCCAGCCCTGGTTGGTCGTGCTGGTGGCAGCCACTCGATGTGTCCCTTTCACATCGATGTTTCTCTCTCTCTCTCTCAATATATCTCTATCTCTCTCTCTCTCTCTCTCTTCCTCTCTCTCCTTCCCACTCTATCTGTACAAAAAATGGAAAAATGTCCTCAGGTGAGGATGAAAAAAAAAAAAAAATAGAGGAAGATATAAAAAAGTGGAAGCACATACCTTGTTCATGGATTGGAAGAATTAACATCATTAAAATGTCCATACTACCCAAAGCAATCTATAGATTCAATGCAATCCCCATCAACATGCCAATGACATACTTCATAGAACTAGAACAAATACTGCAAAAGTTTATATGGAACCAAAAAAAACCTCAAATAGCCACAGCAATCTTGAAAAAGAAGAACAAAGTTGGAGGGGTCACATTACCAGATTTCAGGTTATACTACAAAGCCACTATAATCAAAACAGCCTGGTACTGGCACAAGAACAGGCATTTAGACCAGTGGAACAGAACAGAGAACCCAGAAATGGACCCAAGACAATATGCTCAATTAATATTTGACAAAGGGGGCAAGAGCATACAATGGAGTAAAGGCAGCCTCTTTAATAAATGGTGCTGGGAAAATTGGACAGCTACATGCAAAAAAATGAAACTAGACCATCAACTTACACCATACACAAGAATAAACTCAAAATGGATAAAAGACTTAAATGTGACTCATGAATCTATAAAAATCCTAGAAGAAACTGTAGGCAACAACATTTCAGATATCATACGCAGCAGAATTTTCACTGATACATCACCTAAGGCAACAGAAACAAAGGAGAAAATTAACACATGGGACTACATCAAACTAAAAAGCTTCTGCACAGCAAAAGATACACAATCATCAAAATGGAAAGGCAACCCACTGTATGGGAGAACATCATTGCCAATGATATATCAGATAAGAGGTTAATTTCCAATATATATAGAGTGCTCATACAACTCAACAAAAGGGAGACAACCCAATTAAAAAATGGGCAGAGGAACTAAAGACACCTCTCCAAACAGGACATACAAATGGCCAAGAGACATATGAAGAAATGCTCACCATCACTAATCATCAGAGAGATGCAAATTAAAACAACAATGAGGTACCACCTCACACCTGTCAGAATGGCTGCTATCAACAAATCATCAAACAACAAGTGTTGGCGAGGGTGTGGAGAAAAGGGGACTCTAGTACACTGGTGGTGGGAATGCAGACTGGTGCAGCCACTATGGAAAACAATATGGTGTTTCCTCAAAAAATTAAAAATTGAACTTCCATTTGACCCAGTGATCCCACTTCTAGGAATATACCCTAAAAAGCCTGAAATACCAATCAGAAAGAATATATGTACCCTCATATTTGTAGCAGCACTATTTACTATAGCTAAGATCTGGAAACAGCCCAAGTGTCAATCAGTAGACGAATGGATAACAAAGCTGTGGTACATATACACAATGGAATACTATGCAGCTGTAAGAAAGAAAGATCTCTTATCCTTTGAGACGACATGGAGGGACCTGGAAAGTATTATCCTAAGCAAAACTAGCCAAGCAGAGAAAGACAAATAACACATGATCTCACTTATCTGTGGAATATAATGAATATAACAGTCTGAGGAATGGGGTAGACCCAGAGACGTGGAAGTAGGGTACAGACTGACAACCCTCAGAAGAGGGGGTGGTAGGGGGAGGGAAGAGATAAATCACAGAACTTATATGATGTACGCATAACCAATGGACAAGGACAACAAAGCAGGGTATGGGGTAGGGGGGATGAGGAGGAGGGTGTCAACGGGGGAAAAAAGGAGAAACGTCTGTAACAAAAATAAATTAATAAAAACTTATTAAGGAAAAAAAAAAGGTACATTGAAAGAGAAGGGAGAATTGCTGGAACAAGTTCCTGGAGTAAACAAAAGACACTGGATATGTCTCAGTGAACTGAGCATCGTCGCATGGACTGAGAGGTCCCGGTTCAATTCCTGTCAGGGCACATGCCTGGGTTGCGGGCTTGATCCCCAGTAGGGGGTGTGCAGGAGACAGCATGTGTTTCTCTCTTTCTCTCTCTCTCTCTCTTTTTTAATCTATTTTTTTTATTGTTGTTACAGATGTTTCTTCTTTTTCCCCCATTGACACCCTCTTCCCCATCCCGCCCCCCAGCATTGTTGTCTGTGTCCATAGTTACGCACACGTGCAAATAAGTTCTGTGGTTTATCTCTTCCCGGCCCTCCCCGTCCCCCTCTTCTGAGGTTTGTCAGTCTGCACCCTACTTCTATGTCTCTGGGTCTGTTTTGTTTGTCAGCTTGCTTTGTTCATTATATTCCACAAATAAGTGAGATCATGTGGTACTTGTCTTTCTCTGATTGGCATATGTTTCTCTCTCATAGCAATGTTTCGCTCGCTCTCTCTCTCCCTAAAACATCAATGAAAACATAAAAAATTGAAAAAGAAAAGCAGGCAAGCCAGGCTCAGGGAGCAGTGTGGCTCTTCCCAGTGCTGTGTGGGTCGATGTGCGTACTGGCCTTCTCTCCCTGCCTGGCCAGGAGTCCCTCCCGAGCAAGGTGTGGGCCTTGTTTTTTGTTTTTAATTCATTTTTTATCCTCACCCGAGGATATTTTTTCATTTTTTATTCAGATAGAGTGGGAAGGAGAGAGAGGAAGAGAGAGAAACATCGATGTGAAAGGGACACATCGAGAGTGGCCGCCACCCACACGACCCAACCAGGGCCGGGGACAAACTGCAGCCAAGGTACATGCCCTTAGTGGGAACCGAACCCGGGTCTCTGTGGACCGCAGGCTGACGCTCTAACCGCTGAGCCAAACCGGCCAGGGCAGTGTGGGCCTTGTTTATCGTGGACAGACTGTGCACTTTGGGCTGACCTGAACAATTGGGAAGGAGGACCTGCTTGAAAAACAACCACACCCAGCCATTCAGAATCTACCGTCCATTGTTTCCACACATGAGTCCCTCTCTCATGACAGCTGTTATCTGAAATCTGGCCATTGCTATCCCTGCCCCTGTGGCTGAGGGTGGAGCTGCCTGACATCTCCAGGACTCGGCCCAGTGCCAGGCTGAGCCGATCATTTCTGTTCCTAAAAGGCTGACCACAGTGCTGCAGGGACACTGTGGGGCTGGGCATCAGAAGACCAGAACAGTAGTCTTCACTGTCTGGTTCTGAGATTTGGGCCAAACTATTTCCTCTCTCTAACCTTCTAACTTGGGGGAGCCTCTTACACCCTGACCATGGTCTGTCTCTCCCAGCCAGCAGTGAGAATTTTGAGAGAGGGCTTTAGCGCCTGCTTTCTGGGCTTCGACCAGGAGGCGCTGCGGCAACTCTTACCGGTTCATTCTTGCCAACCTGAATCCGATAGCGGGAGATGAAGTTGGGCTTCCCAGTTGTGTCAACCACCAGTAGAAGCCCATTCAAAGTCCAGAATGACAGAGTAGACAGGTGGGTGGCCCCTGCGGTTGGGAAGCAGAAGGGAACCATCAGGGCAATGTCAGGTCTCAGCACTGAAACTCATTGACCCAGGTGGCACTGTAGACAACCCCTTGCCAGGAAGGTCTTAATGCTCGAGGCCAGGGACCCTCCTTTAAGCTGTGTCTTTCCTTATTTTCTTAGTTGTAATACAGGAACAGCAACCTTCTAGGTGGTTAAAGACCCCAAAAGAAAGTGTATGCTCTAAAACAGAAATCAAGTTAGGTTGACATGTGGGAGTCTGTGCCCACTGAACCCGTTAGATTTCCAAGGAAGGGAGAAGCAAAGAAAATAGGGTATGTCTGGTTCACCCTATTAACTGAGCAGCGCAGCCTCAGGCACCCATCCAGTCAGCGTTTCCCAAAGTGGAAAGCTCATCTCTTAAGGGGCGTCTTGGTTGAACAGCTTTCACACCTTACTCTCAGAGAGTCATGGTCCAGACTAGTGTGTTTAGGGCTCTGGAAATTCCTGCAGTAAGGAAACCTGTTTAACTTCGTTAAACTCAACCTTTCCCAGGCTTTTTTTTTTTTTTAAACCCTAGAACTTCGTTTTCTCAGAACTCCTAAGAATAAGCCCTGGCTGGGTATCTCAGCGTAGTCTCATACGCCAAGGTTGCAGGTTTGATCTCCGGTCAGAGTACATACAAGAAGCAACCAATGAATGCATAAATAAGTGGAACAAGGAATCGGTCTCTCTCTCTCAAATCAATACATTTTTTAAAATTAATTAAAAAATAACTGTGAGATACTATTTTTTTAAAAAAGAACACCCAAGAATAGGATGGCCATGCATCCCAGTTTGTCCAGGTCAATTTCAATTGTCATCTGTCACTCCAGTATAATTAATAACATCGCATTTACCTTCACAATGTCCCTATGTGGATGATATGTTATATGACCACCCCACTGACTACCTGCCCGCAGGGCTGATATTGTGTAGGATACATTAGAAAGCGACGATCAAGACTTAAAATGTAGATGCAGCCTTCTGCTCCACATCCCACTTTTCCCTGAAGTCATTCCAAGTATTGGGATGTCCTCCCGTGAACAAACAAGCTTCGTCTGCCCACCCCAATTTCACTTAACTCTGTACTAGTAAGTTTATTCAGCCATGTTTTGCCCTCTCTTCTAAATTCTAAGGAGAAGGACGTTTTACTTAACTCTGTGTCTCTTATCCCTCCTTCATCAACCACAGTGCCTTGTGGCAGTTGATACCTGAAAAATACTTGGCCAGCTCTGTGGGAACAAATGATTGGCACAAACATCCGGGAGGGCATTTGGCAGTAAAATTAAAAGAGAGACAGAGAGACAAAGAGAGAAAGAAAAAAGGACACAGGTATATTCATACGCATCAATGTGCATCACAGCATTTTAAGTTCATGGAATGTTTAAGCAGCCTAAATGTCCATTAGCAGGAAATGGACTACATTGGAATGAACTGGGCAGCTTAAAATATTAAGTAAATCTGTATTAATTGACATGGAAAGATGTCCACAACCTATTTAATGAAAAACAAGTTTTTAAAAATTTGATGTCTTGCCTTGGCCACTCTAGCTCAGCAGTTAGAGTGTGAGCCTATGGATCAAAGAGTCTTGGGTTCTATTCCCAGTCAAGGGCACGTAGCTGGGTTGCAGGTTTGATCCCCAGCCCCAGTCGGGGTCATCTGGGGGAGCAACAAGTTGATGTGTCTCTCTCACGTCAATGTTTTTCTCTCTCTCCCTTTTCCTCCCTCCCTTCCATCTAAAAATCAATGGGAAAATATCATCAGATGAGAATTAACAAATAAATAGATAAATAAATAAATAAATAAATATTTGATGTCTTATAAGTTCAACCATATAACCAATATATAAGATTAGTACTAATATATTTAAGAGTGGTTATTACTTGGATATGGGAGAATGGGTGATTTTTCACCTTTTTTTTTTCCTTTTTCTCTTTTTTCTTCTTTATTGATTTTAGAGAGAGTGAAAGGGAGAGGGAGAGAGAGACGCAAACATCGATGGGAGAGAACATTGATTGGCTGCCCCCTTCAAGCTCCCCACTGGGGATCGGGCCCACAACCGTGGCATGTGTGCCCTGACCGAGAATGGCACCAGCAACATTCTGGTACACGGGTCGATGCTCAACCACTGAGCCACACTGACCAGGCAATTTTTCACCTTCTTTATGATTATTTGAATTATCTGATTTTTATTTTAACAATGAGCATATATTTACTTTTATCCTTAATAGCAAATTTTTTTATTTTGGAAAAAAAAAGTTGGGTTGGTGGTTGCCTAGTGGGCCATCTGTGAGGGTGGCTGCCTACTTGGGAATCCAAGGGCTCCCTGAGGATTACAGAATGAAAACCACAAGAGATGATCTTGAACTTTCTTCCAGCTCTAACACTTAAAATTGCAAATATTTTCTGTCTGATGTGTGCTTGTTGCCAAGGTGATAGGTGGTATTCTCAATATTATAACAGAAACATGTAAAATGTCTCCCCACCACTTTCCCCATAGACATTTGCAGTCCACACCGTTCTTTTCAATGACTGTTTAAGATCCCTTTGCACCAGTCACAGTGCATGTTCAGAGTTTTCCTTCCAGCTGAAAACAAGGGGCATCTTATTTGCACCTTGGCTTTGTGACAACTGACACTTCTTTATCTTCCCTTCTAGACCGTGACATAGTTTTCCAATGGGGGTAGACCTACACTTTGTTGTAAATCTCTCTTCATCCTCCATACAAGTTTGGCACAGAGTAACATTAATAAATATTATTTGAGCAGATGAGGAAATTCACTATTGGAGATAATGCGGTTATAAATAGTTGAAATAGCTTTTTCTCCTCCAGCTTGTTTTGAGCCATTCACACTGTCAGAAATATTTGAGTGACCACTTGCTGTCCAGCCCCAGCAGCTAGATGGCACCCAGTATAAGGACGTAGCCTCACGTGACACTGGGCAGCTGTCTACACTGTGGACCTGGCATCTGGAAGCAGGATTATCACTCTAAACAGGCCTTCATTTTCATACAGACTATTTCTTTGTTCATTTTTCTATTTTGGGGGGCAGGGAGGTCTCCATTTCTTGTTTTTCTGTTAGATATCCTTAGACATCCATTCCAGATCGCCCACAAGTTGAGCACTCTTGGGGGTTACCACTGTTTTAAACTTGAAGTCCTTATTCCTTGTAATAATGAGCTGAGAAGTCCCAAAGTAGAGAACAAAATAGGAAAAGAAGTAAACAATAGTATGTACCCAAACCCTCAGTGCTGGTGGTCTGGGAAGCTCACCTGTCACAAAGAGGATCCACTGCTTCCCTTCGAACATGAACAGCAGCCTCTCCCACTGGGCTTGCCAAAAGCAGCCAGAAGCACCCCAAAATCTCTGAAGATGCCTTGGAAGAAAAATTGCTCAGGTTTCTAGGTAAAGAATGGTGGGCATTCTGACCCCAGACCACCACCACACTGCCCTCAGATCCAACAGACTCACCATGTGACTGAGTTCCAGAAGGCCACAAACAAGAGCAGGCCAGAGCCCAGGATGAAAGCTGTCCTCCTCATGGAGCCCCAGATATGTCCCTCCTGGGGAGGATAAGAGAGTGTCAGGCCCTAGCAAGCCTGCCTTCCCATGCAGCTCACTGTGAAGCCTGGTAGGAGTGATGTGTGATCAGGATTCCAACCCATGCCACCACCGCTGAACTCTTACCCCTGTGGGAGACTCGTCCTTATCAAGAGCTCTGTGGCTGTATATGGGTGTGTTTATGAAAATCAGAGCTCAAGGTTGAGGGAAGGGAGGGAACCAACCTGACGCCAGAGAAATTGGCAGGCGATTCTGTCACCCAGAGAGAGGCAGGGGAGCCTTCCAACTGTTCACCAGTCCTCTTGTTGCCCATTATATATGCGTTGGAAAGCACCTGGGAGCTTTATAAAAGTTCAGATCTAGGCCCCTCCCCAACCCAATTATGTAAGAGCCTCTGGGGTGAAGCCTGGTGTTCCAGATTTTTAAAAGCTCCCCAGCTAGCCCTGGCCAGTTTGGCTCAGCAGTTGAGTGTCGGCTTGTGATCCAGAGAGACCCGGGTTCAGTTCCCACTAGGGGCATGTACCTCGGTTGCAGTTTGTCCCCGGCCCTGGTTGGGTCGTATGGCAACCACTCGATGTGTCCCTTTCACATCGATGTTTCTCTCTCTCTCTCTCTCTCCCTCCCACTCTATCAGAATATCAAAAATAATAAAAAACGATCCCCAGCTAAACCCAAGGCTGAGACGACCATCACAGAAGGATCTGCAGAATCCTTAGTGAGGACACAGGGGCTTCACTATAATGCATGGGCCAGGCCTATTTTTCCATCCCCAACACCCTCTTGCCCTTGAAGAAAAGAGTAAATGAACATGTTCTGATTTTTAATAATTCCTCTGCCTTCCAGCAGACTAGCCAAGGTTGCCAGCTGGACAGGACAATGAGCAGTTCTAGGGGCAAAGAACAGGCCACTGGCCATCACTGAGAGGTGCTTTATATGTCCTCCAAGAGCCTATAGCAGAGATCATTGCAAGCCTGATGCTCACACAAGAAGGCCCCAGAGTTGGAGAAGGAAAACCCTGGCTGCCAGGTGAGTCGCAGTTTCTTTTGTGCCAGGGAGAGGAATTACAAACATCCCTTCCCATGTTTCCAAGCCCAGGTGGAATCTGCTCGTATTCTTCATGAGGGAGAACTGGAGGTGCTGGTCCCTGAGGTTCATCTGCATGTAGTGAATTGGGCCACATACAGAGACTCAGGGGAGTGTTGTGGGGGAGGAGAATGGATAGGATGCTATGTTTGAATCCAGACTTTTGAGATCTGAAGGAGAAGGTTGTTTTATTGTTGATGTTAATCTTCACCCAAGGATACTTTTTCTATTGAATTTTGGATAGAGTGGAGGGGAGGGAGGGAGGAAGAGAGAGAGAGAGAGAAACATCTATGTGAGAGAGACACATCGATTGCTTGCCTCTTGCATGACCCTGACTGGGGATGGAACCTGCAACCCAGGCACATGCTCTTGACCAGGAATCGAACCCATGACCCTTTGGTTCATGGGCCAACACTCTAACTGCTGAGCCAAATCGCCAGGGCAGGAGCAGCTTGTTTTGATTGACTCATTTAGAGTGACCTGAGTCTGCACTGAATCATTTCTCCTCTGTTTACCTGTCCCACCTTTGATTAAAAGACCAAAAAGATTCCCTGGCTGGTTTGGTTTAGCGATTAGAGCGTTGGTGCACAGACCAATGAGTCGCAGATTTGATTCCGGTCAAGGGCATGTATCTTGGTTGCAGCTTGTCCCCAGCCCTGGTCGGGGTCGTGCGGGAGGCAACCAGTTGATATGTCTCTCTCCATGGATGTTTCTCTCTCCCTCTCTCTCCCTCCCTCTCACTCTATCTGAACAAAAATAGAAAAATATCCTCTGGTGAGGATTAAAAAAAAAGAAAGAAAAAAGACCCAAAAGAAGTCCTTTTCCTTGGCCAGTGAACAGTTGTTGAAGGGCTAGTGCTCATCAGAGTCATGAGCTCTAGAAGTGAGCTTCTCTCCCTCTCCCTCCCCCTCCTTGAGGGCTGGATCCACAGGACCAGAACTGGTTCTTTTACACAGGCCATTCATTCCCAGTCACTCCCAAGCTCGTCAGACGGCTTACCTTGGGCTTTTGCAATTACTCCTTTTCTAGGACTCAAAGGACCCTTTTTATGAACTGTTCCAGACTCACTAGGAATTTTTCATTTGAGTTTAATCACATCAAATTAAAAACCTCAATTTCATGGTTCAGATTAGATATTTTTTTCAGGGATTGTGGTGGTTTCTTTCTCCAGCAGCCCAAGTGAAGGGAATAGAAACACAAATCTCTGTGGAGGACAGAAGCATGTGGTTCAGGAGTTAGCTGGAGTCAAGAGCTGGTTTCCAGCCGGTTTCCAGTCCCCAGAGCAGTTCTAGAGAGTAGTGTTTCCAAAGGCCTGAGGGGGGCAGTCTAAGGGCCAAGAGACAGTGGTAGGGTTGGTATCGTGCAGGCATAGGGGCTTTGCTTATAAGGCAGATGCAGTCAAGTGCTTTGGGATCAGCTACTGAAATGAGCACATCACCAATGTGTCAGTTCCCCCTAAACCTCTGGGGAGACGCCAGATACGCAGCGAGAGCTGAGATGGAGGGTTGCGGGCTGCATTCTCACCAGTGTGCTGGGTAGCTGGCATTTACCTGCTTTGGCTTCTCATCCTGGAGCTGACTTCCAGCTTCTCCCTTCATCTGGAATAAGAAAGCACAGGTGAGTCTAGATGTCATTTCACATCAGCCGAGGAAATAGGGAATGGAAAAGTCAAGGGGAACGACTAGCAGTGATTTTTAGTGCTGGCTACTCATTAACATCTCCTGGGGAGCTACAAAATATTGCTCTGGGCATCAGCAGTATGAATCGGAGCTTGGCTATGGGACTTTGCCTGGAAGAGGCTGTCTCAGAGATGGGCTGGGATAACCCTTCTTTTTTTTTTTTTTTATCCTCACCTGAGGACATTTTTTCGTTTTTTGTTCAGATAGAGTGGGAGGGAGAGAGAGGAACAGAGAGAGAGAGAAACATCGACGTGAAAGGGACACGTCGAGTGGTTGCCACCCACACGACCCAACCAGGGCCGGGGACAAACTGCAACAGAGGTACGTGCCCTTAGCAGGAACTGAACCCAAGTCTCTCTGTACCACAGGCCAATGCTCTAACCGCTGAGCCAAACTGGCCGGGGCTAACCCTTTTTTTTTGTTTTTGTTTTGTTTTGTTTTGTTTTTTATCCTCACCCAAAGACATTTTTTTCTATTTTTTGTTCAGATAGAGTGGGAGGGAGGGAGTGAGGGAGGGAAGGGGCGGGGAGAGAGAAAGAGAGAGAGAGACAGAGAGAGAGAGAGAGAAACATTGACATGAAAGGGACACATCGAGTGGCTGCCACTCATACGACCAACCATGGCGGGGACAAACTGCAACTGAGGTACGTGCCCTTAGTGGGAACTGAACTCTGAACCCGGGTCTCTCTGGACCACAGGCCGACACTCTAACTGCTGAGCCAAACTGGCCAGGGCCCAGCCCTTCTTTTTGAATAGCTTCACTCTGTGCCTCAGGATGGCTCTCATCCAGAAGAAATCTCCATCCTCTGAACTCTCCCCTAACTGCCAATGACCTACCGTCCTGGAATCCAGGGCTGAGCCAGGGCTCTGCCCCTGACTCGCATGGACAGCTTCCTTAACTTCTGGGAAGGCAGGTTACCACACGGGCTGGACTTGTCACACTGACTAAATTGAAGCATTTTGTAAACTGCAACATGATTCAAACAGTGGGTATATTTCTCTGTAGACTTTGTTAAGACAGTGAGCCTTCCTTGAAATCTGATACCTTTCTCAAGGTCACATCGCAGTGGTAGCTATCACTTACTAGTTTTTGTGACCTTGGTCAAATTATCCTCTCTGAGGCTTGGTTGCCTTAGCTATAAAGTGGGGCTAATACGAGTGTCTCTCACTCATGTGACCTCTGCTGGGAGGCAGTGCCGGCACACAGGCTCTCTGCAGACCCTTCCTGGGCCTTCACACAGCAGGCGCTTAGCGCATGTGCAGAGGCTGAATCAGGCAGAGGCCTTGGTTCAGGAGTTTCTACATATGGGCAATCAACCACCTGGGGGGTGTGCTGGAACCCAGATTTCCAGGCTACAATCGAAATCAGAATCTCTTCAGGTGGAGCCTAGGAAACGGCATCTTAGATTTAATCCCAGGGTGGTTCTGAGGGACTTGACTGCCCACTCAAACTATATAAATTGTGTGCTGTGGGTTCTAAAGGTACCGATGGGAGAGATGAGAACTGGAAGTCAGTCACCTGAGGTGTAAGGGGCTGAGGCTGGCTTAGAAAATGTCTTTCTTGCCCTGGCTGGTTTGGCTCAGCAGTTGGAGCGTCAGCCTGCAGACCAGAGTCCTGGGTTCGGTTCCCGCTAAGGACACGTACCAAAAAAAAAAAAGGGAAATGTCCTTCTTGCCCTGGTCACTTTGGCTCAGCGGTTAGAGCATCGGCCCGCAGACCAAAGAGTCTCGGGTTCGATTCTGGTCAAGGGCATGAATGGAACCTTAGTTTCAGTTTGTTTCTGGCCCTGGTTGGGGTAGTGCGGGAGGCAGCCAATCAATGTGTCTCTCTTGTGTCGATGATTCTCTCTTTCTCCCTCCCACTCTGTCTGAAGATAAATGGAAAAAATAACCTTGAGTGAAGATTTTTTAAAAAAGAAAAGAAAATGTCCATTCTTGCCCAGCTGTTGTGGCTCAGTGGTTATGCGTCAAACGTGCACCAAGAAGTCACTGGTGTGATTCCCAGTCAGGACATGTGCCCAGGTTGTGGGCGGGACCCCTAGTGGGGGGCATGCGGAGGTGGCCAATCAACGTTCTCTCTCATTGATGTTTCTATCTCTCCCTCTCCCTTCCTCTCTCTCTAAAATCAATGAAGAAAAAGAAAATGTTCTTCTCACCTGCTCCCAACCCCCATCCAGTCTCCTCAGCAGAGACCAGAAGCTGGAGGGTTTGGGTTGCTTCCAGCAGTTCTTCCCTAAGTCTCCCAAGGACAAGGAGACCACCACCGTGATGAAATTCAGCTCACCTAATTTAGTCAACCAAGCACCCTGTGTTGGAGACCTACTCTGTCCCCAGCAAACGGTCTTGGGTGGATACTGTGGGCCACACAGGAAAGTGTATGACCAGGCCACTGTCCTCAAGATGCTTATAGTTGGGACCACAGCTACCAGTACAGGGTAGTAGATGAGGGCCAGTGACTGAGAGGGAGTGGCCAGGAAAGGCTTCAGGAGGGGGGGGGGAGGAACTGGGCTTGGCATTGGGGTTTGAATTTGAGAGAGCACGTGCCTATTAAAGTCCAGAACAAGAGAATGATGTTCACTGTTACTACTACTTTTAAACTTTCTAGCCTTTTCTCATTTTAACTTCAAATGGGGTATTCATCAATGCAATTAGGCAAGAGGAAGTAAGCAAAGGTAAAGAACTAGGGAGAGGTAGCCCTGGCTGGTGTGGCTCAGTTGTTTGGGCTTTGTCCTGTGCACCAGGAGGCTACTGGTTTGATTCCCCATCAAGGGAACATGCCTGGGGTTTCCGGCTCGATCCTCGGTTAGGGGCATGCAGGAGGCAGCTGATATTGTGCTCTCTCTCTCTCTCTCAAAAAATCAATAAACTATTCTTTAAAAAACAAAACAAAAAACAAAATGGGCACTGGCTGGAAGCGTTAGCCCGCGGACCAATGAGTCGCAGGTTCAATTCTGGTCAAGGACACGTACCTCAGTTGCGGTTCCTCCCGGGCCCTGGTTGGGTCATGCAGGAGGCAGCCAGTCAGTGTGGCTCTATCACATCGATATTTCTCTTTCTCTCTCTCTCTCTCTCTCTCTCCCTCCCCCCCTTTCTCTCCCCCCCCTTCCTCCCACTCTGTCTGATGATAAATAGAAAAAGTATCCTAAGGTGAGGAATTAAATAAATAAATAAATAAATAAAGACATTAAAAAAAAGAATTGGAAAGAGGTAAAACTATCGCTATTTGTAGATAGTGTGATTGTATACCTGGAAAATCTAGAAGAATAATTGCAAAACTACCACAAAAGAGAATTGAGTAAGCTAGTAAGACATACAATTAAGGCCGGTGCTCTAACCACTGAGCACACTGCTCAGGGCTGTCTATCTTTTAAACTTCTAGTACTCTTTTTGCTATGCCATGCCATGGAAACCTCACATACAAAGTCTCATTTCTAGCCTTTTCCCAGTGTCTTATCATCACCACTATCATTGCTAAGAGATTGTGGAACAAATAAGACATGATCTTTAATCTTTTAGAAGCTCATCCAATCCTTCCGAGAATATTTATGAAGAACTAACTCTGTGCAAACAGCATGCAAAGATAAATGAGAAACACTGTCTAGATGCATAAACCTATCATTCCAAAATCCATGTAGAAAGTACTGGACCAGGGATTTGGGCCCAGTTGAGGAGTAGGGCAGGTGATCTAGCACACCCAAGAAATCTTTAAAAAAATTTTTTTTGTTAATCCTCACCGAAGGATATTTTTTCCATTGATTTTCAGAGAGAGTGGAAGGGCGGGAAGGGGAGAGAGAGAGAGAAACATCCATGTGAGAGAGAGACATCAATTGGTTGCCTCCTGAACAACCCGGGGATGGAACCTTCAATCCAGCTACATGCCCTTAACCAGAATCGAACCTTCAGTCCCTGGGCCAACATGCTAACTGCTGAGCCAAACTGGCCAGGGCAAGAACTCTTTAAAAAAGGACAATGTGCAGGCTTTCTCTGTGCTCTTGGATACATGGTCTCTAAACTCGAAACTGAGCCCTTTCCTCCCAGTCTGGGCTTTAGTTCATCCAAGGAATGCTGGGTTTTAGTTAGACTATAGTTTACTTTTTTTAAAAAAAGCAAAATAGATGTAGAATCTGCCACATGAATGTAAAAACTGCCACTGAAGATATCCTTGCTCCCTTACTTAGTTCCCCAAAAGAAGCAGTGCACTTTTTATGAGGATACAGATGATAAATTTCTATGAAGAAATTGGTGCACAGAAGTTTTTCTTTTTGGAAGTGGTATGCTTTCTTGTGGAATGCAAAAAAAGAAATTGGCAGTCCTTCCTTCTCCACATCCACCCCGTTTTGTTTTGTTTTTTTTGAGAGAGAGAGGGAGAGAGAGAAAGATCAATTTGTTGTTCCACTCATTTATTTATTTTTATTTTTTAAGTATTTTGTTTGTTTGTTTGCTTGTTTTTTTAACTCTTCACCCAAGGATACTTTATCTATTTATCATCAGATAGAGTGTGAAGGAGGGAGAGAGAGAGAGAGAAACATTGATGTGATAGAGCCACATTGACTGGTTGCCTCCTGCACAATTCGACCAGGGCCAGGGTTGAACCTCAACCGAGGTATGTGCCCTTCACCGGAATCAAACCCACAACTCATTGGTCTGCGGGCTGATGCGCTAACTGCTGAGCCAAACTAGTTAGGGCTAGTATGTTTTTATTAATTTTTTAGAGAGAGGAAGGGCTAGAGAGACAGAAGCATTGATGTTTCGGCTGCTTCCTGCACTACCCCTACTGGGGTTCGAGCCCAAAACCTGGGCATGTGCCCTGACCAGGAATTAAACTGGGACCTCTCAATCCACTGAGCCACACCAGCTGGATGTTCCACTTATTTATATATTCATCGATTGCTTCTTGTTAAGTGCGAAGATTGAACCTG